ATTTAGCTCAGCGGCAAAAGCGCCTGCCTGGCAAGCGCAAGGTCGTGAGTTCGGTTCCCGGTACCGGAGAAAAACCAAAAAAAAAAAAAAAAGAATCAAACGGCAGAAACATTTATAAACTATGATACTTACGTATGAATATTAAAAAGGATTTTGACACATAAGCACCCAAACTTTGCAGAAGGATAGAAAATAAGCTGTTAATTACTTTGAAAAGTTCCCCCCTAAGACTTTCTACTTTCTATTCTTCTCTACCTTTTAAAATTTTTACCAAAAATATGGAAATCTATTAAGTATTTCTTAAAGTCCTTCACTAAGTATTTATAAAGCATCTGTTCCATGGTAGAATTTATTTACCAGAACTGTGCTGGTAAATAAATCCTGAGAATCTTGTGTCTCAAGGAGCTTACACTCAAAGGGAAAAAACAGATTATTTAAAAATAAGTAAACAAGTAGAAATAAAGCTGGGTAAGGGCTCACAGGATATGGAGAATGCTTTTTCCATGGTGGTGGGTCAAAGACTCCTCTGAGGTGACATTTGAGTAGAGAACAGAGGAAATGAAACACGAGCTAACTCTGTCAAAAAGAGGATTCCAAGACAAGAGTATAAGTACACCCCATCTTTTTTATCCACTCCTCAGGTGATGGGCATTTGGGTTGTTTCCAACATTTAGCTATTACAAATTGTGCTGCTATAAATGTGGGTGCATATATACCGCTGTGATATGATGTTTTCATTTCTTCTGGAAAAATACCCAGAAGGGGACTATCTGGGTCCAGTGGGACCTCTAATCCTAGTTTTTTGAGGGATCTCCACATTCCACACAGTGGTTTCACCAGTCTACACTCCCACCAACAGGGAAGAAGTGTTCTTTTTTCCCCACAGCCCCTCCAGCATTTGTTATTGGTTGATTTCTTGATGACAGCCATTCTTTTGGGGATGAGATGGAACCTCAGTGTTGTTTTAATTTGCCTTTCTCAAATGACCAATGATGTCGAACATTTTTTCATATATATATTTGCCATTTGTATTTCTTCAACTAGGAAGTATGTACTCATCCCAGATGTCCATTTCTGGATTGGGTCTTTGAATTCTGGGGGTCTGATTTTTTTTTCAATTCTTTATATGTTCTAGATAAAAGTCCTTCGTCTGAGGGACAGTTGGCTAAAAATTTTTGCCAGTTCATGGGTTTTCTTTTTACTCTGTTAGTGATTTCTTTTGATGTGCAAAAACTTCAATAAGATGAAATCCGAGTTGTTGATTCTTGGAATCCCATGCAGTTTGGTTTTTAACCGTTGTTGATTTCCTAACATCTTGTTTTGAAATTCTGTCTGTTGGGACCACTTAGGGAACAGGCAAAGAGCCAGTGGCAGGAGCTGAATGAGGAAGGAGGAGCAGGGAAGTGACAGGAGCCAGCTTATGCCAGGCCTCCTGGGCTGAAATGAGGACATTGTCTTTGACTTTGCATGGCTTCTTTTTGGTGTCTGACCTGAGAAGAGACCATAAGGGGACAATGATGAAACAAGAAAACCAGTTAAGAGACTACTTTGGTTCCCAGGTTGGAGATTACGGAGGCTTGGAAAGAGTGGTAGCCGCAAAAGCAGGCATTCGTGTCGGCAGGTGGACGTATGTGCCTGGCGTTCGGGGAGCAAGCCCTGGCTGGAGGCAGAGATGGGACAACTTCTAGATGGCACTAAAAGTCACACGGGATCACGTCTGAAGTGTGTGTAGATGGAGGGAGCTCTCTGGCCTGTGCCAGGGTTAAACGTCAGGGAGAGGAGGAGGAATGACTAGGAGCAGGTATAAAGGGCCAGCTGCATCAGTAGGAAGAACCAGATGAGTGTGGTGCCCTGGAAGCCGTGTGAACAAAGTGCTTTAAGAGGAGAGAATGATCAACCTTATTGAGGCTGCTGATTAATCAAGGAACATGAGCTCCAGAAATGACTGTCAAATTTGCCAGCCTGAGACGTGGGTGAGCTTCACAAGAGCTGTTTTTGCACAGTGATGGGGAAAAGTATGACTGGAAGAGCAATGGTCCCCCAAGGATGCCCACATTCCTCCTTGCACGGATAACGCACAATAGGGCTGCCATCACAAAGTCTGAATTAGACTCAGCAAAGCACAGAATGTCCATCCTGGAAGGGCCCTTGGGAACAGGCTCATTCAACTTACAGATGGGGACACAGAGTGCTAGAAGGTTGCAGTGACTGCTCCAGGTCCCAAGCTGGGAAAGGACAGGCGGAGAGCAGAGGTGACAGCTCCTTGTGCCGCAGCCAGCGTCCTCCTCACCACTTCCGCATGCCTTGCTCCTCACTTGTTTTCCATCTTAATTCTCTGGGAGGACAACAGGTGCCACAGCTGCGAAGGAACCTTCAAGGCTCCCTGTGATTTACACCTAGTGACACACAGTAACTAACTCCCTTTCTTGTCCATTCAGCTCCCTCAGAGGCATTGAAACTTTGCCTCTATAAGAACGAAGGCAGAGGAGGCCAGCCACAAGACCAAGTCCCCTGTAAAAATACAGGTGTAAAGCTAGAAATATTGAATTTCAAAGACCTTGGTATAAACTCTAAAGAGACATTAAGCAAAAGTCCTCTGAGCAACCCAAGAGAATAAAAGTGTTGGGCAAAAGGAGAAGAGTGATTGTAGAGTCAGAATCCTTCCATCACCTGTCTGTGAGTGGAGTTATGACAAGCCTGTCAGTGCAGCCTAAAAATTCATTCTGGTATGTGAAAGCCACATCTGTGATGTGAATCATCATCTTGTCAGAATCTTCATTAAAATAAAATCTGCACTGTTTCAGCCACTCAAAGTCCGTAGGGCTCTTGACATGCATATGACACTGAAATTCAAAAGGTATATGTTACAAATGAAAGGAGAATCATTTATTAAATATACACATTAGTATTAGGTAAATCATACAGTAAAACAAAGGAAACTCACAGTCTATCCTATTAATTCACAGATGTCAACTAAATTATCATCAACCCACTCACTTATTGGTTAACAATAAGGAAATCTCAGAGGATACGAGCACAAGAAAAATGGAAAGAACCCCTAATTAAGCCCTCCAATTTAAATGGCATTATATAATTTAATCATAAGATTCATTGCTTAGATTTCATCCTTTAGTGACCAATACTATACTTCTAAGCATGAAATACAGTCTAGGGAAAATATGTTACAGCAAACAGAGAGAGTTAAACAATCTCACTAGGAAAAAGCCACCTTGTAAGATTATGTTAAAGCACACTATTGGGGTTTTTTTAATCCATTAATTATTTTCCCTAGGAATGTGCACAGGCCAAAATTTCAAAATATCTAGATAGCAGGTTATCGCCCAGCAATTCTTTTGTCTGCATTGTTTAACCAAAATGTTAAACCACCTTAATCATTTTTCCCTGACAAATAAGAAATCAAAATTACCTAGAGCCCTTCATTTCTGAGAGAGACAAACAGTGTGCTTAACTATTAGGAGAGGAGATTAGCATAAAACAGCTTGACTGTGATGTGTTTCATTTCCATTACATCAGGACTACCTGGTCATAAACATTTTTACATAATGGAGTTAAAACATAACCCAGAAAATTATTAGGAAAGTAAATGCTTCTTATCTAATGCTGTGTCTTATCTAATGTTGTCTCTTATAGTAGAAGACAAATGTCCTTTCTTTTCACATTTCCCATTTTCTATAGCTACTGAATGCTCCCTTTCTCCCTATTCTCTTTCTAAAGACAAAAATCTGGGCAACACCTGAAAGTTACAAGCTACAGTAGGAAAGACCACTTTGCAGTCAGTGACATGAAATGCAGCAAAACTTGTTAAGGATGTGACTTATCAAAAGCCTTAAAAGAAGCCATAAACAACTCTCCTAACAATATCGGTTATCATTTCTGCAGTAAGAAACCAGCGATCTTCAATCAGTAACTGAAAGGAGCATAAGAAAAATAAAAGCTTTTTGGGATGCCACATAGCACTTTAGCATTTAAAGTAATCATACAACTAATTTTAAAATTAAATCTAATTGCCACAATAACATAATTTAGTTCACCAAAACTTGACTGAAATTGTATTATCAGGCTGAAAAGAAAAGTCTGGCAAACAACTTTTGATCATGATGACTCTTTGCTTGAATTAACCTTTCCCTTGAATACATTCTAACTAATTCCAGTGGGTAAACACAGGTAGTGTGTACTATTTGCTGTGCTGTATATGTCACAGAATTCATAAAGAATTTACCAGGTCATCAAAGATATCTCTTTGGTGCACATGAATAGTAATCAAAGTCTCATATTTAACTCGTTCCATGGAGCTCAGATCTTTTGTGGTGATGTCTATCAGTGTGTTAAGTAGTTCCAGGAAAGACTGATTGGTTTTCTGCATGATTTTTTTATCAAATTTGGCGTTTCTAAGAGCTTCTTCAGAATCCCGTGTCCATATCATTTGAATCCCTAATAACCCAACCTTACAGAAACAAAAAAAGCTTTTATGAGTGTGCATGGCATATTTACATATTTGAATAGAAATTATAACATAATGAAAAATTGTGATTATTATGCTAATGTAAAGCCTTGATTACATCAACTTAGTATCTTGTTCCAAAAGCCCATAGAAACTCTATTCATATTATTTACCTATCAATTAAATATGTAGAGCCCCATGATGTGTCTACAATTTTTTCTTGTAATTTTAAGTCATTTAATTCACATTTATACTAAATAGGTTTTTAATTACTCGCAAATAAAGGTCTCAAATTTGCTTTCTCCAAACTAGCATTGTATTTACAAATAACAGATACAAAAAACTAATTTTTCTGGTCAGGTGTCCACTCAATACATTTTCATGATTTATGTACATCATTACATATGGAAATTCAGTTGGAAAAATTGTCTTAATTTAAAGAAAATATGTCAAGTATCTCTGTAGCCCAAATACATATTTAAGTCTATATGTATATATATGGCCAAATAATCTGTAGTTGAAATCTTTTAAGCTTATCTACATTATAAATCCTTAGGAAAAACTTAATATATTGGTCCAGAGTTAAAGTATGCTATCTGTGAAGCTTACAATAGGCAGTATCTGAGATTTAAGGTGGCTATTTTATGAGAGAAAAAAAAAAACTTTCCAATTTCAATACACTGACCTGAGCAGGAAAAGAAGAAAGAAATTCAATCAGTTGGAAACCTGTTTCTTGAATATTTGCAGCTGCCTGGCGAATTACAAGATGTAACGAGGACCGAGATTCCTCCAAGAGAGAATTTAGCCAGACTTCCACGTTGCCCTCTGCCATAACAGGTTTGTTCAACTCAATGGTCTCACCCTCTCGAGAGGAAACTGACAGAATGCGATCATAGTTCTGTATTAGAAAGTGGGAACATAGCAATATTTATATGAAAGCAGAAGAAATAGTTTCTGAAGTTTCCTCAATTCTCTTATCAATATTATCCCTCCAGTAGACAGGTAAGTTACAGACTATAAAATGTAAGGCAAAACATGATTTAAAGTCACTATCAAAAGCAATAAAAATGTTATCCCTGAAATCTAAGAAGGAATTTCTAAATCAATTCCAAATAATCAGTACTCTGAGGGGTTATATTTATTTCCTAAGAAAAACATTTCATATAAATGTAGTGATAAAGTTATCCAAATGAAGCTGGGACTTTTTAAGAGCAATTGCAGACTACAAGATTGTCATTAACTGTTGTTTTCAATATACCATCAGACATCAACCACTGTTAATTTGTATTATTTTGTCTTGAAACCCTGTATCACTTTAAATGTTCTTGCTTTGGTTTGTTTATGTTTGTGATACTGGTATGCTGCTATTGTTCTTTTGTTTGTTTCTCATTTACTACTCGCTCTAAAATAAAATTTCTAACAAAAAGATAACTTCAGGTAGTTTATTCTTGATCTAATAAATATTTATTAAAACATTAAAAAAAAAAAAAAAAAAAGATTTTCAGGTTGACATTAGAAACGGCCTGGTCAGCAAGCTTCACTCCGAAGAATCAAGTAATTCCCATTCTTTACCAAACACAGTGTTCTCTGTACACGAGCCTGGCTTCACACAGGTTTCCTAGCAAAGCCAGCACCCACTCTGGTCATTGTGCTCCACATCGCACATGGTGAGCTCAATGGGAAGAACGTGGTGTCTGGAGTTCAAGATGCAAGCTCCCAGGTCCTCTTCCGAGCACAGATAACGCAATGCCAGAGCACCTCACTGAGATGAAATTTCCTGCCTCTAGTTAACCACTAAAAATCACACCCGGGCTGCTTCTGTACCCACCTCACACTGGAAAATTAAACAAACAATGCAAACTGTAAACACCAATGCGTCTTCCTCACAGAAGTGATCCTCCACAAGGTAATGAATCTTAACTTTCAGGGATCCTCACTTGCACTGACTTTCTCTGAGTTCCTGAACAAAATTTTGTACTTCTGATTTTGTAAAATAAAGAAGACCCACAAAACCAGGGTCTGGCCCCTGGTTGTAGTAACCTTAGGCAGAGACTAACCAAATCAATGCTTTCTTAGGAAGTGATCGCTAGGAACAGAAGCAAATGATCTGTGGGGCTGTAACCGACAAATGAAGAAGCTTAAATTACCTTCAGCAGACAACTTCAGGGGGCAGTGAAAAGCTTTGCTCTTGAACCACAAAGTCCTAGCACTGTAGCAGAAAGAGCTGAGCGAAATATCAGAAAGAATTTCCTGGTTAATTTAGACCCTTCTTTCAATCTATGTACTCGATGGATCAACGAATCACTGACTTTGACCATTAAAATTCACCCTGTCCTTCCCTCCTGTGCCAGGATTTGCTATAGTAGTTCAGGCTTTTCCTTCCTTTCTCTATTTCATTCCACCTCCCACACTGCACACAATCTTCCTAAAACACAAATCAGAGCCCTGCCCTGCTCAGAGGCCTCCTTTGTGTCTCTGCCACACTCAGGATGAAGTGGATTCCACAGTGTGGTTCACCCAGCCCTGGGAATACGGTCCCTGCCCATTCCTTCTTTATTCATCACTCCCCCTTGTTAAAGTCCTATGTGATCTGATTCAGGTTGGAGTGATCCAGGTTGGTTTCTATCTATTATTGCGGGTTGAATGTGTCCCCTAAAAATGTTAATGTCATAAGCCCAGGACCAGGGAATGTGACATTATTTGGAATACAACATTTGCAGATGTGATCAAGTAAGAAATGAGATCGGATTTAAGGTGCCTTACCAGAGAAGAATTTAGACACAAAGGCACACAGGAAGAACAACATTTGGAGATAAAAGCGGACCTGAACATGACGTCTACAAGCCAAAGAACACCAAGGACTGCCAACAGCCACCAGAAACTGTAACAAAAGCACAGAAAAAATTCTCCCCCAGAGCGCTCAGTGGGAACTAACACCGCCACCACCTTACTACTGACTTTTAACCATTAGAGCACAGAGAGACTACATTCCCAGTGTTTTAAAGCATTTAAACCTCAAGTAACAAATGCAGTCCCTCACACACCTACAGTCCTGCCCTCCTGGGCTACACATGCCTCCAGACCGTCACATGTACCCATCCTGCTGACCAGAGCATGCTTCCCTTTTCCACCTATCTGGTTATGTTCCACTTGCCTTCAGAAGATCAGTTCAAGTGGATATTCTCCACAAGAAGCCGTCTCTGACACCCCACACACTCAGGCTAATGTTCCTGACAGCCATTCCCATACTCCATGTGCTTAATACAAGCACAGAAATAATAACTCAAGTCCCACAATTTAATTGTCAAATTTCTCTTCACTGTTGCATGCCACAGAAATAGTTTCAGTGCTGCCTAGGATGCATTCGTCCTTGGAAGCTCAGAACGAGCCTCACGTCTGGCACATGGCAAGGGGCTTGACCATAATGACTGGCATTTACTTGTCATCATGGGCTACCTCTACCATCACACTAACTGCACTCTACAGACTCCATCTGTTTGCTTCTCTGCCTCTTCCACCACAGTGTGAGTTTCCTAAAGCAGGTACATTCCCATTATTAAGTATAACATCTAGCACAAGGTAGCTGCTCAATAAATCAAATTATGTGCTAGGATGAATAAATGAATGTTTCCATGGGTTTGTATCAGGCACCAGAGGACTAAATACAATGCCAAATAGGAAAGGTCATTCTGGATGGAAAGATGGATAAAATAGTATATTTTGGCAGCTGCATACCCCAAGTGCAGCCTACCCCAAGTTGAATGGTCTCTTTTGGGTCCCCTACAACTCCATTATTCTATAAACATATTAGGAGTGTTTTTAAAAATGGTTTTAAGAAACCATACCAAACACTCATGAAACCAAACTATAACTATCACCCTGGAACATTTAATTGTTTAGTCAAGGTACTACGTTATGAGCGATTGGTTTCTTTGTCTGGTTGGATTTCTTAAATTACCATGTAAAACCATGCATTCTATAAGCAATATATTCTTGATTACATTTAAATTATTATTTTAATAATAATATTATAATAATATTATAATAATTATAATAATATTGTAATTATTATTATTCAAAAGTACACATTGGATATTAAGAAACAACACAGTTCTGAAGGCAAGTTGGACCCCAAAGTTTGTTTTTAGCCACTGGCCAAGAGTTAACCGACAAGGAGAGAAACTTTTATAAACACAGCATCCAAGAATTACCCAATGGAGGCAGCTGACATGCTAAGATAGGAAGCTTATTGGCTAGCAATGAGAATTAGGCGAACCTTGTCATGGAACCTGACAGTTTTAATGTTGTCAAACACATTCAGCAAATGGGCTTGTATGGTGTGGGAGTCAGACGCCTGCCCCAGGATCTCCAGGAGAGCAGGATCTGAGACAAAGAAGAATCGAGGAAAGCACAGCCGTTTTTTCTCCAAGTATCTAAAAGGGGAAGAAAAAGATGGACTTTGATAAAACACACAAAGCTGATCTTTTCAAGAATAAACTGACCTAGGGCTGGGGGTTTAGCTCAGCGGCACAGCACCTGCCTGGCAAGCACAAGGTTGTGAGTTCGATTCCCGGTACCGGAAAAAAAAACAAAAATAAACAAATGAATAAAGAATAAACTAATGTAGACCGGGAAAGGAGGAAAGGCTGTGGGACAATCTGCCTGACTTAATGTATTTGGCTTGTTAAGAGTTTTTAACAAATAGCACCCTGTATACTGATGGAGAAACTATTTTCTTTTCAGAATCAGTAGCAGAATATTTTTTTCACAAACATAAGGTATACATTTTGCTCAGTCTGGAATATCTTGCATTTCATTTGCAAGAACAGGATAAAATATACACAGAGTTTTGGAGAGACTTTGTTTGTTTTGTTTGTTTTGTTTGTTTTGTTTCTAAGACAACATTCATTATTGGAAGTGCATCTGAAAAGAGAATCTACCACCTCAGAGCAGCTATGGTTCAACTGCATGAAAAGGTGGTTTCCTGCAGGAGTCATGGCAACCTGGTGAACACTGCTATCATCGACCTGTTTTCAACTACACTACCATCTAGAAGTGTTTTGTGTTATGATTATTCCTCAAATTATGGATATATTTTCTCTGCTATTTTTGTATTTATAGCTCTCAATATCCATTTTCTAGCATAGAAAATTTCTTGTTCTATTGGGGACTTCTTGTAAGTTTTCACTTTTTAATGAGGAGGCAGTATTGTTTTGATTTTTGGTTGATCTGTTCTGTTCTGTGCTGTTCTGTTCTTTTCTGTTCTGGTTCTGTTATGTTTTGTCCTGCTGCCCAGGCTGATCTCTGGCCTTTTATTCTGGGAGTCACTTATGCAGTCTTCCTGCCTCAGCCTGGGACTATAAGTCTATGCCACCCACTGCACTGTGGCATTACTGTGGTTTTAATCACCATTTCTTTCTCACACTTTACTAATTCTTGCGAACTTTAAGTCTCTTCCTCCAACTTGCACTCTTCCCTTGTCATTTGTATGATTGACTCACTTCCTGTGTAAAGTAGTGAGGAGCCCTCCCTCTATGGTAGGAGCAGAATTCTCTTCCTAGGAAAAGTAGTTTTCACTTGAGGGTTAAGTAGGTCAGAACCCGGAGCCCAGTGGTGAGGCCACGGGGGATGTATGGGGAAAGCCCGGCCTCCACAAGCAATTGCTGGGCTTGTTCGGATGAGTGGAATCTGGCGGCTGAGGCAAGAGCTCAGTTCCTCAAGACAGGAGGAGACATTTCCAGAAAGAGGCAAAGGATTAAGGATATGAAGGGAAGCTTGTTGTACGTAACTGGGGTGTCTCCTGTGATGACAGCGGAGCAGCCTTGATGTGTGGACTGTGGTCAGTACTCTCAACTCTCAACCAGCGGCTCAGTAAATTATGCATCACCTGCTTCTGTGTGCCAATTGCACTTATCTACTTGGGGCAGGTGGAAAAACGCGAAGTCTGGCAGCAGTGGGAGGCCGGGATAAACATAGAGGCAGGGACCCGGGATAAACACAGAGGCAGACCTATGAGGGTGTTTTCTTCCAACTTTCATTTTCTTAAAGTCTTACTTCTGTGCTGTAGCATTGAGTGTTTTAGATTTTTACTTTCCTGCCTTTAAGGCAATTCTTTATATTCTTTTTAATATCCTAATCCTTCTGGTTCATACAACTGATTTTATTCTTAGCCCTTATTCTTTTATCCTACTAATTCTCATTCCTCACTTGTTATCTTCCTCACAGCAGCCCGATCTGATTCTGTGATGAACCAGGTGATGTTTCTATTCCGCTAGACCAGGCTGGGAGGAGACACACGGCACGTGCCAGCCACGTCTGCGATGGGGTTGAGATGATGACAGATCTTCAGAGAGATGCTTCTCCTTAACCTCCACTCTAATTATGACTTGGCTGCTGAGAAGATTCTTTTTGTCTGTGATCTTAAACATGACTTGGGAGGATCTGGGTTTTGTGTAACTATGAGAACTCAAATGTTTTTGCCGGGCTTACACATTTCGGTTCATAACCTCTTCTTGGTAAAAGAATTTTTAAAAAACAGTAAAAGAAAAAAACTTGTGCTTAATTTTAAAGCAGACTTTTCTTCCAATGAGTTATAAAGTAATACCAAAATATCAAGCACTGGGGGAGAACATGTGTGTGATAAAAAAAAAAAGAAAGAATGAAAGAGAAAAATAGAGGAGGGTGTGTGTTTGTACCTGCATCTGTGCTGATGGTGGAAGAGAAGAAAGAAAAAACACCAACCCCACAGTAGGTAGATAAATGATGTGAATCCTCAGCAAGTTTTTCATGGTGACCAAACCTCCATGACATCCCAGCAATCCTTGCCTGGTAGTCTTCCCATCTTGAAGACCATGGGAGTATGAAGATCTACTAACCCCCTTACTAAGGCTCTCGGGCTTGATCTCGGTGGTAGACTGCATGGTTCTTTGACTACCTAAGAACCTCTGTGGTGTTTGCAATATGGGAGCCCATGCTCAACCATCATTATGGAAACATTTGCAATCATTTGAAAACAAAAATACTTTTCTTTGTTGAATGTCCTTCAATAATTATTTGACTTGATCTAACAATTTTATAAAGCAGTCAAATCATGACTAGCTAAGAGTCCACTTTTCTAAAAAGGTATTTTGGAGAGCTTACTTGCAGATGGTTTTGCTTTAAAGCAGACATTTACAGGGTGCTTCACTATCACTGGCATTGCTGTGACTGCTATTTAACCATGCTGCTTAGAACAGACTTCTAATAAAAGGAGGCAGGTGATACCCTACAGCACAGTACTTTGAGATACTCCCAACCTAAACTGGAGGAAACTTACAAAGATTTCCTAAACAAAATCTTAGCCCAACCTCAAGTTCCTACTGCACTATCTCCACATCTAGATATGGTCTGGCACTGGTGAATATTATAATTAGACCCTCACTTCTGTACAGTCCTGACCCCTTATACATAAAGACTCCTTCATAAAGGAGTACAATAAAATATTTTTGTTCTACAGATGTTTTTCCAGGAAGAATACCAGAAAATTAGTATATTAATTTTAAAAGTAGACATTAGGTGAGAAAATTTTGAAGATCTTATCCCAGTGAGGAAAGCGGCCTGAATCAGGACCAACGCAGTTAAGTGCTTGGCGAGAATAGAAAGCTCGAGCCCACAGCAACTTTATCCAGAAATTAAACTTTACCCAAGGAAAACAAATTTGACTGATGCTATGTACTTTTTCTGTTCCCTTTTGTATAGCAGATTCTGAGAGTTTTCAAAGAGCCAGCAAGCTTACCCAGTGAGAGATTTCTGGCATATCTCCAACTGGTCCAACAAGTGTGGTAACAGCCGCCCCATGGTCTCATCTCCGACGCAGCACTGCACCACGCTGGGCATTTCATGTGCTCGAGTCATGATCTTTACCCAAGATTTATCTATATTGGAAAAGCACTTGGCTTCCTGCAAGAATGACGTAACAAACAACATTTGGAGACATCGGTGATCTCAAAGGCAGAGTGTCTCAAATGCCTCCAACTGATGCCATAGAGATAACCAGGCTAGGTCCCCAAGGGATGTGTGCTTAGGATCTCACACTGTCTAGGCTATTTAAATTCTCCTTTCATCTTTTGTACCACATTAACCTCTTTTTTAAGGATCTTTAGTCCAAACCTAATACTCCCATTAAATAAAAATAGGAAATAGAAATAAAAATAATACTTGCAAGATAATTTGGGAAGACAGGACATTCCCAATTGTTTTCATGAGATAATCTCTAAATGGAGAGAACTTTCTACTTTTGAGTCTTCTGCAATGAATACTGGATTACTTGTGGGTATAGAGAAACATTTAAAAATAAGAATGCAAAGTTAATTCTGGTCAGATTCTAATATTGCAAAAAAAATTAACATACTTTCAGGAGAAAATGAAGATGTACAGGTTATTTCGAGAGGGTAGGAACAATGGTTTTCTTCCCTAAAACTTTCTGTATATAGTATTATCAACAAGCACATAGTACCAAAATGAGCAAGAAACTCCACTTAGCTTCTTAAAAATTCTACGTGAAAGCTTTCATTTTCAGGCCAATTTTAGATTCTTTCCTACCCATCAAGAAGAAAAACATGTACAAATACAAAAGCAAAAATAAATAAATAAATACCTAAAATGTTAGTGTGTGAATATGTTTCACAGCGGATGAAAAACATAAATTTCCTGCTTTATCGCTGGTTAACAAATCTATCTTCTCTAATTAAACTGAAAACTAATTAAAGAAAAAGTCACAAAACCCAAGTGAAGAACAGTCAACATAACCATGCTTCCAAAACTCAAATATATTGTTAAAATATTAGACCCTGGCAAACAACTTAAAGTAATTGAATAAGAGTTCTTGAAATTTGGTTAAAATGTCTTTTAAAAACACAAAGTATACCCCATGTATATCTAGTAAGATAATTACAACCTGATGATAAAAATATACCCAGTACCTTCAGAAGATCTTTTTTGTTTTGGAGCTTTTGCTTCTCACAGGTTTTCATCCTCAATTTCACAGTACCAATATAATTTAGTATATTGTATAGTGTGCATTATTTTAAAATGTCAGTAGTACATGAACAAATTATCCTACCATTGTCAGGATAACTACACCATAATTCTACACTGTTCCAAATTGTACTTTGAAATTATCTAAAGAAGAATATCAATTATGCAGGAGCTCATGCTTTGTTTTTTTTAACCCTCGGTTTCCTATCAAACATCACAGTTTCATACTTACTCTGATTGTCAACTCTTTCCTTTCCAGAATTCCTCACTACCCTTGAAGAATAATATTATCAGTTATGAAAACAAAAATACCGGAGAAGAAGGTCTAACAGAGACTAAACTGTACTGCATTCTCTAAGAAGCTATTAGTCCTTAAGTAGTTCTCTAATTGAAAGACTTGATGGGATCATAAAGAAATCTCCAAAACCTTGGGCAACTGCTTGGCAATGTCTCCTCCCACGAAGACAGCTTCTAGATAAATCCACAAGTTCTGCACGGTCATCCAGTTCTCGATGATGTCGGTTGAGTTGGAAAGGTACTGTACCCATTTTTGAATCTGGGCTTTGAATGGCATATTGTATCTAAAATTTGAAAATTGAAACCAAATGTCCATCATTTCATTTTTGTTGTTTTCAAAGTAAAAATTCTGCTTAAAAATCTTAGTTTTTAACCTGCTGAAAAGTTTGATTGTATTGCTGGTTTTCACAGTGATGATACTGAGTGAGTAACTTGTCACCATTTACTGGATATTGTTAGTCTAGCTTTTTCTGGTTTTGTCCAGAGCATAAAGCACTGGTGACTCATAATCCAAGGAGCAGATCAGGTGTGCAGCTTGATTCCATCCCACTCCCAGAGCAATATGCAGCCACTGTTCCCAGGTCTGAAAGAGTGCCTGTGTACAGTGTAGAATTATGGTGTAGTTATCTTGACAATGGTAGGAGAATTTGTGCATGTACTACTGACATTTTAAAACATTCTCTCTGAGTTTCTGGGGAGCAAGGTACCTGCCCCAGAACAGATCATGTTTATCTAATTCATGTGTGGGTGTGCGTCTTCTCTATCCCAAGTATGTTATTATCCATTCATCCTTCATTCTAGTTGGGTAGGAATAGTGACTAAGTTTACTAAGACCAAATCTTAAGCAGTCCAAATCTGACAGGATCAACTGTTTAAATCTCCAAGACCTGACTTTATATTCCGTGACACTCACTCATATGTACCAAATGAAAAGCAAAGCAATTTTTATGGAGACAGGTTTAAATAGATAGTATTATCTGTATTAAAAGTATTGACTCACAATATACAGCTAGAATATCACAATAAAATTATAGCTCAGTGGTATATGTATGGTATGTAATTACTGTAATTTGAGATCCTGATGAACAAAAAACTGTTTTAGAAAAACAAAGGGAAGTTCACTGCTCATGCTCCAAGGAAATGTATGTTCATGAGTCCAGGTTTACATGTCCAAAATCTAATAGCTTTACTGATTCCATCAAATCGTGCCACAGAAGAGTTATACCGGTATCTGTCTGTGCCATGTGACACATCTTTATGAATTAATTTTACTGTTGTGGCCTGAGTAAGAGAGACCAAGTTATCTCATTAAAGTGTGTACACAACTAAGAATTTCTAGCCCATAAATGGCGGAAAGGTTTTTTTCAAGTAAAATGATCATTGTTCTGGAACTCAAACTGAATTCCAAGTGGAATCTGTAGCCTGTGGAGCTGTCAACCGTGCAATGAGGCTTCTCAGCAGCAAAGTCGAAGTGTTCAGCAAGATCCAAGTGGATAATTACATGGAGCATTATTTTGTCCCACTGATGGTCTCAGACACATCCCACAAATAAAGCCTAATGGAATGAAACAGTGCAATGCATGCTGTGCCAAAGGCTAAAATTAAAACAAGTGTTTTCAGCACTGAATAAATTGTATGCAGGGTACTACTGCACTGCATTTTTTACTAATTTCCCTTGAAATGTTGGTAACTATGCTTCTCAAGTGCAAGAGTCAAGATAGATGGTTTTCCTACCTGTTGCTCAGGAGAGAACCCAGCAACATCAAGCTGTCCTCCATGTTGGCGATGATTTCGGAGGTACTGTCCCCTCTCAGGAGGAGTTCTCCACGGCTTTTAAAGCTGGCAAATGTGAAGGTTTTGTTGTCCCATTCATTAATCACTTGCTTCAACTTTTGTTCAATGTCTCTCTCTTTGACGGCACTAACACAGATGTCCTGTCAAAATGGCAAGCTCTCGTTTTATTACATCAAAGTCACATAACTTTTTCATAGTCTAAGTTCAGCAGAAAGCCTGTCTTCACTATATGCCTGATATGTAACGAAAGCACGTATATTTGCAGAGATAGGGACAGAGACAGAGACAGAGACAGACAGAGGCAAACAAGGAAATTTGGGGATAAAGATATTACTAAGTAAAACTTTAAATTATAAAATTTCCCTCCAAACTGTTCTAGAAAGGAAGATAACAGAAAAGGTGCAGTCAATGTTTACTTTACTCACAAACTTAAAAGCTATTATTTCTAGTTTATACTTAAAGTCAAGTCATGCAGCATAAGAAAAGGAAATTAGCAGAAATGTGATTGCATCCCATGTCTCTGTCACTTCCTCGGTCTCTCCTGTAGCTTCATCTTTTCCCAGACTATTCATGGAGCCCTGGGTTACCCTCATTTCTCCTCACATAGCTTCTCTTTCAGGAGGATACCATCTACACTCAGGCATTCAGGACCTTTTATGTCTCCAAGCAAGACTCACACCCACGTGCCAACTGAGATTCTGTACGTGGATGCTTCAACAAAACCCAAATACAACCTGTGAAATATCAAACTCATGCCCAAAGTCAAGCTGTGATCTTTGCACCTTGTTGCCCAATCTGATCCGCTTACAATATTACCTTCTCAGTCATAAGAACCAACGTTCAGACTGCTCAGCAAAAAGTCTACAACCCAAACTTATGTGCTCACCATTTTCCCCTGACCACCATACCTCCACCAACAAATTCTTCCCAGTTTCACCTCCTAAAACTCTTTTAACTTTGTCTTCTTTGCAACTGCACTACCTCCCCTTTAGAGTAACCTGAGTTGCTCTCTAAGCCCTTTAATTGTTTTACCATCTTTCTCTTCTTGCTCTCCTTCAATTCTTTCTGTACATAGCTGCCAGGATGATCCTTACAAAATGCAAATCTAACAACGGCCTCCCTACTGCAAACACATCTCCCGGGGGGTTCTCCCTTGCTTTAGAGACCAAAATCTATAGCATGTTCTAGGCTCACTCTATGTCCTGGGCCCCAGCTGTTTCCTCTACGGCTCTTCTCCACCACACTCCAGCCACACAGCCAACTCCGGTTCCTCCAGCGCACATGACGTCCTTTGAATCTGGAATGGGTTTTCTTGCACTTTCAAAGCCCCAAGTGACACAGTCCCTTCACTCAGCTAGGTTTGCACAAACACCCCAGCTTTCCCTGCCTTTATCATCCACAAGCGAGACAAGCTCCTTTGTCATAGGCTCTTGTCTAACAGTGTACATTTCCCTAAGTGGTGTTTACTGCAATGTACAACTGTACCTTTACTTACATAATGATCTCATTATACTGATTGTCTAATGATCTCTGAATGCTGATATGCATCTTATGTCCCCAGCACAGATCTGCCACATGGACAGCACTGAAATAAACACTTGCTGAAGAATTAATGGGTGGATGTCAGGAATGAAGTTTCAGATGTCCCAGCATGGTTTACTGTATGACACAAGGACGCTATTGCAGCCCAGGAGATCATCCAGTCTTCCACCAGAGCATCCCACGACTGTACCTCTATTTCTTCTTTGTATTTCAGAAGAGGAGCCTCCATGATGTTTCTTAACTTAAAAGCTTCATTCCCCACGTCCAGACTGCGCCCCGTGAGAACAGTGATCTTCTCCCAGTGCCTGTCCATCATGGCTTTACTGGCCATGTATTCCAGTAGGGGGCAGCACTCGCTGAAGTCATCAATAGTCTTTTTCAAGTCCAAATAAGCCTGCCAGTCCTTCAATGCCCGGGGCAGCTTCCGACACCTGTAGAAGAAAATCGACACTAATGGCCATTTGAACATAAGCCCAGAGATCTCTAATCCAAGACTGTTGGGGAGCACTTGTATCCAAAATAGCCTTTCCAAATACCTGTCTCATTTTGAAATCTCATGACTTAGAGGCTGTTACTACTATGTGTGGCACATATTACACAAAATTATTCTTCCAAATAAAGAAGGTATTTTTTTTCAGTCTCCCAAGATATTTACCCAAAAGCATTACTTCTGAGGATAGAGGTCCCTTGCAATTCATTTCAACTCTACAAACATGAATTGAGAACTTAACAACCACAAAGCACAACAGAGTATACCAAGCATTCACCTCAATTTATGCAACAAATGATTTTCCTTTGCTTTGGTTATTGTACTTAAAACAACGTTAAAGAATCACGGGGTTCTTGTCTTTATTCCAGAAAATTATCTAACATCAACTTCATATATTTGATAAGTGTGATGCAAACACAGATCACCCCCTCCAACCTACAGAAAAGGTCCTGACAAGATTCATCTATGATTAAAGAACGTGCTTATCTCATACACTCAGGGAGAATGACAAGGATGACGTCAACAGGTAACAAAGTGCAGCAAGATGTGCTTTCAAAATACCCGGAATGCAAAGAGATTGGCAGCCCATCAAAGGGGAAGGCATTGAAGCCCAATAGCTCTGAGCATGCTAAACATTTCCTTTCTTACCTGTTCTGGAATTCCAAGAGTTCACTGTTGATTTTCTCGATATTCACTTCTGACCAAAGAGTATCTTGATAACTATTTACAGTCTCTATGACACTGTTGTACAGAGTGTATATTTTCTGTAGAAGATTTAACTGTTTTTTTATTTCAAGAAGCTGAGGATACTGTGTAACTGGAAGACCAAAAAGTTCCTCTCCTCCGGTATAGGTGATGTATTTCCGATAGATATTATCAAACTGATTCTAATAAAAACACAAGTGAAAACTGATTGACATGACTTATACATGCTCAAATACGGGAATGAAAGTAAAAGCCTAGGAAACCAGCAAGAGCTTGTGACCTTGGAGCACAAGTAGAATGTTAAATGACTATGATTAGTTCACAAAAACTGCTTCTAATTGTAGCGACACAAAATCATATTTTCAGAAAGGTAAGCAAATTCCACATTAAGACAATAAGCTTGCTATCTTTTTTAAATGTGCCGTTTAGAATCTAATAAGATTTAGGAAGATAGAGCAATGTAAAAGATTACCTGAAACATCATAAGCCTATCACTGGCTTCCTGGGGATTCAAGCCACTCACCATAGGACCATTCTGAAGCAAAAAGTGAAAAAACACAAAACAGAACTAAGTGCTTGTGTACAAATCTCATGAATATCAAAGCTGATGTTCATACTTGTCACATCCATGACAGAAAACAGTTTTTCACTTATAAAAAGGACTCAGAAAGTTATGTAGTTGGAAATGTGGTAAAACTTCAACAAGTTAACAGACTTTGAAAATTTAAAGGATTTATTTCCACTCGTTAGATGACAGAAGCAAAGAAAAGTCAATAGCTCCTCTGGAAGAAGCACATATCTCTGGTTTGGAACAAAAACCCTAGGACACTAACTCACAGATTTCACCATTCTAATACTATTTGTAAATCAAACCATAATCTAAATATTCCAACAAGGTTTGCCTTCATGTGATGCCTTAAATATGTGAGTTTCTCTGCTTCTTCACCTATGAAGTGAATATTCACCCAGTCTCCTGACATGAGCTTTGTGCTTTGGTACACTTCTAGTTGATCAGTTAAAAGTTTAACTCCTACTTTATATACATATTTCCTTCTGTACCACATTACAGTGGGCTGGAAAGGGAAGGTACAATACAACGTATTTCCACTAGAAGACTCTACTCTAAAATTCATGGCTAAAATACAATTGGCTCCCAAGCAGGGCTACATTGTCTTGTTCACCACTGTATTTTCAGCACAATGGACAGAGTCTGGCACCTTTTGGGTGCCTTAGCATTTGTAGAACTAAGAAACACTTCTCCACTGCTGGTGGGAACGCAGACTGGTGAAACCACTGTGGAAATCAGTTTGGAGATTCCTCAGCAAATTAGGTCTAGAGGTCCCATTCAATCTAGCTATTCCCCTTCTGGGTATTTTCCCAGAAAATCTAAAAACATCATATCACAGTAATATATGTGCACCTATGTTTATAGCAGCACAATTTGTAATTGCAAAATTGTGGAAGCAACCCAAATGTCCATCCACTGAGGACCGGATAAAAAAAATTGTGTTACTTTTATATAATGGAATATTACTCAGCTATAAAGAAAGATAAACTCGTGGCTTTTATAGGTAAATGGCCACAACTGGAGACCATACTCATAAATGAAATAAATCAGACTTGCATGTGCAAACACCACATTGTCTCACTAGTGTAAAACCTGAAAAGTGAATAAAAACTAGGAGGTATGATAGACATTGTGAAATGAAAGGAAAATGCTCAAGGGTAATGGTCAACTGGGGTGTGGGAAAAGAAAAGGGGAAGAAGGGGAAATTCTGTATGTATGTATATACAGGATAGTTAACATAGTTGACTACTGTCTTCTATTTCTTTGCTGAAAGAAACAGTTAATGATTCCTTGATTGATCAGTATTGCATGTCTCTGTTTTCCTGAGAAACCACTTTGAAGGTATCAATATGTAATACAACAAGCATTGTTAATTTCCTACCACTTTGTTTGTAACTCTGTATTGTTTGTATTGCTCTTTTGCTATTTTGTAAATGGTTATCTGTTTGTTAATGTTTTCCTTTTTTTATTTTTAAAATGAAAAAAACATTTTAAATTTTAAAAAAAAAAAAAAAACACCTCAAGCCCAGCACTATGGGAGGCTGAGGCAGAAGTCCAGCCTGGGTGAATTAACAATTTTTTTTGAGACAGGGTCTCACTATGCAGTTCAGGCTGGCCTTGAGCTCACTTTGTAGCCAGGCTGGCCTCGAACTCACAATGATCCTCCTGCCCCCAACTTCCTGAGTGCTGGGATTAAAGCCGTGTGGCACCACCCCAGCCAAATTAACAATTTAATATGAGCTTGTATCAAATTTTTTTTAATGTAGAAAGATCTGGGAATGTAGCTCAGTATGAATTCCCTGGTTTCAGTCTCCAGTAACGCAAAAACAAAAAAGGAGTGGTGTGAAAGGAGGAACAGTCTTTGTGTTTGAAGAGTATCTGTCTACCTACATGTAGAAGTTATAAGTTCAGTAACTGAACAATGATGCAATGTGAACAGTTTTTTTAAATTCCCCATTTCATGCTGAAATTATTCTAGATGAATTCTAAAAGGAAAAGGAAATGCTTTTAACTGTCTTGAAAATAAAACGCCCATTCCTAGGGAATATTTAAACAACAACTGCATTTTGTGTATCCTAGCTACTCTCCCTTGAAAATACACACACCGAAAGACAGAGCCATACCAAATCATAATCCAGATAAAACTGGTGGCAGTCTTGGAGAAAGACCTCCACGGTACCAATAAGCTCCTTCCTGAAACTGGGCTGCAGGGAGACTAATTCATTCTGGACCTCACTGGCACGTGCCAGGAGCTTCTCCCAAGCATAGCGCAAGGTGTCCACTTTGTCCATCTCTTCCTTTGCTATCAGAAGTCCATATTTGTTAAGCAGGGCATAAGATTCCTACACAAGAAAAAAAACTTAGTTTCTGCCTGTCAGGTACATAAATCCACATACAGTCATTTACTGAAGCATGAGAATAGAAGAGGCCAGTGTGATAGTGAACTAGCCCTGAGAGTTCAAGATACTCTATTCAAAAATTGCATGAGTTTAAATGAATAACTAAGCCACACAGCTCCACTTTCCCTAGCCATAAAATTGACAACAACATGCAACAACCATTGTTGAATTCCTATCACCTTGTTTGGTGAAACTCTGTATCGTTTATGATTTTTTTTTGTTTTTATTTTTTATTCTCTTTAATGGTTTTATTAATCTTACATTCTTACATCTGGTAATCTGACCAACTTCGATGAAGATAATAATATGTAATATAGCAACCACTGTTAATCCTTATCATTTTGTTCTGAAACCCTGTATCATTCTTGGTTTTGCTTCACTTTATTTTTTGTCTATGTTGTTGGCATTTTGCTATTGTTCTTTTTTTTTAATTCTCTTTAAAAAAAAAAAATGGATGGATGCAGAAAATGTGAGGCTGGAGTCCAAGCCTGACCATCAGAGTGTAAGTCCAGACACTTGAATTGTGACAAGATAAAAAGACAGTGTTTTTAGGTCTGGAATTTTTTTAATGCTACAATTATACTAGCATGTTTAAAAGAATAAATACAACAATCTACTTCTCGTAAGATGTTTTTCTCTGGAAATGATAATATGGCATAAAAATAAATATGATGTGCAACACTGACTGAATTGCTTAACTCCTTTGACCCTGAGTCTCGGTGCATAAATGCTATTAGGCTGTTAGCATCACATGGAGGTCTTGTTTATCAGCTGGGATTCCCATACCCAACAATGACTCCGAGTGCTGGTTTTAAGAACTACTGCTGCTCCTTCCCAGGAAAATTGTCCTCAGCTGAACGGGATCCTCTTCATGAGGATCTCCACTGTCCTGGGGGTCAGAAGGACAGTGTGCCTTACACAAAGGTGAGATTGTGTGGTGCAATTAATGCTGCAGATCTGCTCACAGGAAGAGGTGGAATTTAGTCTAGAGCTGCCATCCTTGCTCAGTTTTTTCTCAGTGTTCTTTCCTATTTCTTTCACTGCTCTTTCTGGCAGCTCCAGTGAGCATTCATCAATAAATCATTTGCTTCAAAACCCTCACCTCAGACCCTGCTCTTAGGACCTCAGGTGACTGGAAAGGACAAGAACTGGCCATAGAAGGCACCCATGAAAGATAGACACTGTCCTTGTTGAAATTACTTTTTTAGCTTTAGCACCCATCTGTAATTCCAGTCCAAACAGTCACTATTTCAGCTAACCATGTCCAACACTCACGCCAGTTACCTCGATGGGTCCTACTTGAAAATCAACAAGGATTTGCTGATCCCTGACTTCTTTCAGGGCAGCCATTGCAATCCGAATATCATCTAGATCCTTAATTGGGCGGTTCAGTTTCTTATTGAATTCTTCAATGAGAGTAAAAATGTTTTCCATCTCACTCCTGTATTTTTTGTTACAGTGGCGGCCAATGACAACCATCCAGGCTTTTATTTCAGCAGTCAGGGAAAACTTCAAGTCAGCTGTAAAACCAAGACACCCACAATTCAGTTCGGGAAACCTGAGCAGATGACACGATACTCTGCTACAGCTGTTCATTAATTACAGATTCTGTACAGCTCATAAGCCTCTAAAATATGGACAATAAACTGGGAAAAATACTTTTCCTTATAATTATATACTCATTCATTTTATAAAGTTTGCTATTGTTCTTTTTTTTTAATTCTGTTTTAAAAAAAAATGTTCTTTTATAAAGCTGCAAAAATTCAAAATGCATTTCAGAATGCCAAAAAAAAAAAATCAAAGCCCTCAGAGATAAGCCTCAAATATTTGTTATTGTTACTTACTATGAAAAAGGTAAATCTCAATTCTAAATCCAACAGATTCATCCCCTTTCTCTAAATTAGTCTTTATTTTCAAGGGTTTAAAGCCAGTGTCTTCAGAATAGTCCAGAATAAATAATTACACAAAAAGGAATTAAAAACAAATCGATCATAAAACTCAGTCCAATCTTTAAGATAGCACAAACTAGCTGGGTGTGGTGGTACACACCTGTAACCCCAACACTGGAAGGCTGAGGCAGGAGGATCCTTGAAAGTTCAAGGCCAGCCTGGGCTACAAAGTGAGCTCAAGGCCAGCCTGAACTGCATAGCGAGACCTTGTCTCAAAAAAAAAAAAAAAAAAAGCATGAATTCTCTGGAATATAACTCAAGGTAAAGACACAAAACGACACTGTTGAATGCATCCTAAAATCAAATGAACTAACCTGTGTACAGCGCAATGGAACCCACACAGATATACTCAGGCTCAGCATTAATGTCCTGCTCCAGGTTCCGGTAATAAAGAATCTGGGACTCAAACTCAGAAAGCAAAGGGTTTTGCATAATAAATGTCATAATGGTTTCTTCTTTTTCCTTTTGCCAAATATGATTGTAGTGTCTGAAGCAATCCATGGATGTAATAACTTCCTAGAACACAAATAACAACAGATTTATGTAGACAAGGAAGACTTTGAAAGGTTGTCATGACACGTGAAGACTGCCCTGTTGCTGGCAGTATCTATGGGGTTGTTAACACATTTGATTAATGAACTCCCGTTCTTTGGAAATACCATGGAATTGGGCTGCATACAATGATGTGTGGGTAATAATCCAGGGTTACTAAGTTTCAGTGTTACCATCTGTTATGGTTTGGTTCTGGATGTCCTCCCAAAGCCTCATGCAGTCATGGGGCAGGCTTCTAGAGTTTATGATTCATGGGTGTGAGTGCTACACCCGCCCTGGGGCAGATAGTTTGCATATATAAGGGAGAGGAAGAGGCTGCTTGCCGCCACTCGTCCCTTTTGCTCTTGCTGCTTTTGCTATCTTCTGCCACCATAAGCGGTTGTCCTCTGCCATGTGCCACCCTGCCTGGGAGCCAGCCTAGTACAGACTGAAAGCTCTTCAAACCATGAGCTAAATAAACCTTTTCTTCCTTAATTCTGGGTGTCAGGTATTTTGTCTCAGCAACGAGAGAAAAGTAACCAAGACACCATCCCTCCCCAAAGGAGAGAAGAACAGTTTCTAGAAACCACAAGAAGAGAGAGTTCTGAAAGGTCCGCTTGGACATAGCCTTTGATTAGAGCTAGGGAAAAAACCAAGCCATAGGTCATGCCACAGAGAGCTGTAAGAAAAAAACTGCGGTGCGGTCCTTTTCTCCTCAGGTCTCCCCCAAGAGTCCTCACTGGCTGAATCTACTGGAGACCTCAGTGGGAATGGACTGACAGGTTGCCTAGGGTCAGACAGTCAGGCGAGGATGAGCAGAAACTGGGTCTGAAGAGAGATAAGCAAACGGAACACGGCCAGCATTGAACCCCATTGAGAAATTTCATGGGATTGCAGGAAAACATGCTCATTATTTTAATCAAAGTAATGGGTCCAATGCTACATTTTCCCATACTTCTCTTCCAATCTTTGTCCAAAATTCCTTAAATTTTAGAGTCATCTTCAATGAGCCCCCCACATCCTTTTTAATAAATATGTTTCTAAGTATTTCTCAATGATGTCATTGTAAACAAGATCTTTTTCCACTAATTTTATAACTGGCTATGTAGGTTGAAAAAATTGATGTTTTACAAATAACCCAATTAATAAATGGACAAACTGAACAGGCACTCATTAACAGGAGAAATAAAAAATACTATTAAGCACACGAAAAAAATGTTAAAGTTTTTTAAAGCCCCTACGGGAATGTACATCAAAATTATGCTGAATTCCATTTCACCCCAGTCAGCATGACTATCCTTAAGAATACCAAAATAAATAAATACATAAATAATTTTCTAAAATGTTAGTGAGGATGCAGAGGAAAAGGAAACTCTCTGAATTGCTGGTGGGAATGTAAAGTATTAGAGCCACCATGAAACTCAGTATGGAGTGTCCTCCAAAATCTAGAACTACCATTGGATTCAGCTATATCGCTCCTTGCTATATTCCTGAAAGAATGAAAGCACACTATAGGGGTGTCTGCGCACCCATATTTCCAAGCATCATTGCCAAGCTATGAAATCAGTGTAGGTGCCTGTCAATGGATGAATCAGTAAAGCAAATTACACACACACACACACACACACACACACACACACACACACACGTTATTCAGCCACAATGAAAAACAAAATCATGTCATTTTGAGGAAAATGGATGGAACTGGAGATCAACATGTTAAGTGAAATAAATCATGTTCAGAAAGACAAATATCATGTTGTCTCTCATATGTGCGATCTAACTAGAGAGAGAGAGAATACGAAAGTGGAAGGAGGATTATTGGAGGAGAAGAGAATGCAGGGGTAGCAGAGGGGAGGGCAGGGGCTGTGACAGGTGCTGGGAAAGATCTATGTTATATTCATGTATGAATCCACCAAAACAACCTGATAACCCGTATTACCCTATGTGCATGAATAAAAACAAATCTGATGTTTTAGTGAACAGTCCAGTTTGCTACCAAGTATTCTTCTGTAACATGAAATGGCTCACGTGCATTGGTCAGCCAGGGAGAGTAAGGAAGGTCGCATTCCCAGATGCTATTTCTCCCAGAGCATTTTTGCACTCAGGGCATGGGCCATGGAGAGGCGGAATCCAGAAGCCGTGCTCTGTGGCCTCCTTTGTGACCATCGAGGGGGGCACTGCTTGCCTTTTGATCCTGGCACAGTTCATCCTGATTTCTGTGTATTTATTCTTCTTTCCCTATATAACAGCCTTAACTGCTCCTCACGCCACCTTTCCTGAGCTCCGTTCATCTTACTGTAGTAAACTTCTGTAATTTCTATGACACAATTAACATGATAGGATTTTACTATGATTAGTATTGCTTTTGTTATAGTGAGTACAAAATTACTTACTTTTTATGTGTCTGCCTCAATCTTGTTTTTGTTAAAATCTCTATTATTAACATTAAGTGAGCAAATTCACAAAACAGAAGAATTTTTAGGAACATGTGTGTTGCATGGTAGCAGAAATTCTGCTTTCTTTCTACTGACTGCTAACTTTACTCTCGCTGGGCTATTTTTCCAGATTATCCTCTCAGATTTATCTGCTTAGAGAGTCCTACTGTATTATCTACAAATAATTTAAAAATTGTCTCCTCACTTTTAACATTTATGCCTCTTAGAAGTCATTTTTCTACTAGCTCACATATAACTTCGCAGTTATATCTGCCTACGAAAATTTTTAAAAACTGAGGCACAAGTTTGGAGATTCCTCCGAAAACTAGGTTTAGAGGTCCTATTCAACCCAGCTAACCCCCTGCTGGGTATTTTCCCAGAAGATCTAAAAACATCATATCACAGTGATATATGTGCACCTATGTTCATAGCAGCACAATTTGTAATTGCTAAAATGTGGAAGCAACCCAAATATCCATCCACCGAGGATTGGATAAGAAAATTATGGTACTTTTATATAATGGAATATTACTCAGCTGTAAAGAAAGATAAACTCGAAGCCTTTATATTTAAATGGTCACAACTAGAGACCACACTCATAAGTGAAATAAATCAAACATACATGTGCAAACACCGCATTGTGTCACTAGTGTAAAACTTGAAAGAGTTAATTTAAACTCGGAGGTATGATAGACACTGTGAAATGATAGGAAACCACCGAAGAGTAAAGGGCTTCTGGGATGTGGGAAAAGAGAAGGGAAAGAAGGAGAAATTTTGTATGCATGTATATACAGGATAGATAACATGGTTGTTCTTCTGTCTTCTATTTCTATGCTGAAAGAAACTGTCAATGAGTCTTTGGTTGACCAGTATTGCATGTCTATATCTGTTTTCATGAGAAGCCACTTTGAAGATATCAATATGTAATACAACCACCATTGTTAATTCCCTACCACTTTGTTTGTAACTCTGTATTGTCTGCATTGTGCTTGTGATATGTTGTAAAATGTTGTATGTCTGTTAATGTTTCCCTCCTTTTATCTTTAAAATAAAAAAAATTTTAAAAAGTTAAAAAAAATAAAAAAAAAAACTGAGGCACAGTAAGTGCAAACATTTCGTTAACAAAATACCCTAAAGTGTACAACTAGTTCCTATTTCCAGTACACTGGACCAACCCAGTAGGGGTTACATTCCCTCCCTATGTACAGTTCAAATGTCCCTCAGAGTCTCACCTTTGATACACGTTCAGATTTTCCATGCACCGAAGTGCAGAAAGCTAAGCCTGCCTCTGCCTGTCCCCCGACAGTGGATCCCCAGGCATGGGCTGAAGTGCTCACATGCAAATCCGGAACACACTGCAGCAGCACATAGACTGAGTTTTGGGTTATCAAAGATTCCTAGGTATGGGTAGAAATTCCAGAGTCCTGGGATCTTTCAACATCCACGCAGTTATACTACAAAGAATATACCCTAACTGTATAAGTCTCAGACTTACATTACCTGGAAGTGTCAGTCTTTATTCCATCCGAGCTTTTTAGAGGAGAGATAACTTAGAGCCTAGAGAAGAGAATCATATGAACTGCATACAGAGAGCTGCCCTGCTTAAGCTACATTAATACAAGGTTATTTGAGTTATTTAATCCAGCTCCTCATCCAAGCCAAGTAGTGCTACAAGTGGATGGCTACCCCAAGGATGTGCTGGATGTAGACTGGGTTTGCATCCTAATCTAATCCACTATGGCAAGTAGACAGGGTAGAGAGTACAGGGTTTCCCATGGAAGTCTGGCCATGTCCAGTACTGAGACTAAGTGTGCACTCATTGTCCTAGAAACAATGTGGTCATCCTATGAATATGGAAAAATGATCTTCAAACTATTCTAAGTGCCAGTGCTTTCTGCTATTTTAGATCTGTGCATTTCCTTCATCTAATACATGTATTTTCTATGATTACTAAGACATTTAAAAGTACGTCTGAGTGTTTGTTACTTTAATACAGACTACTCCCCTATCATTTAGTATAGACCCCAATAAGCTAAGCATTAGACAAATACGTGTTGAATTATGTGAACACTAGCCCCAGTGCAAAGCTAAATGCAATACCTTCAATATACTAAGAAAGAAAAATTAAATGTGCATAAATGCAAAGTCTTCCCTTGGGAACACCTTAAAACCAAATTTGACAGCACTTTCTCACACTGTTATAGCGATAGTGGCCTTTTGGAGTTTTCAAACACATGCAGTTCATTCCATAAAAACAGAATAACCAAATAGATGTATTTATGGAGGATACCCCCTCAAAACTAAGAAACACTTTTAAAGGGTCACCAAGTTTTAGTGCAATGTGAATGTGATTGTTTACACTTTTAAAAAAATTTTTTCAAGGTTTTCAGTCTTTCTGACATTAAGAACAAAAGTATCTAAACAAAAAAGGAGAGTTGAAAAAAAAGCAAGTTGGCATAAAAGAGTTAACCTAAATTTACGTCCATGTCCGGTACAAATTGGTGTTGAAAGTATGAGCTTCCAGTTTTATCTAATTTCCATGCGGCAATATAAATTTCCTTCGGATATTTCATAAGATTTGCCTGACAGTACAAACATGGAAAGTTGACTGCAAGCCTTATTCTACTTGACTCTTTAAAGGTTAATTGTAACATGTATCTGACTTGTGGGTTAGAAAATATTAGAGCTTTTAAAAGTTGGATTGATTTGTATTGAAAGAAGAAGTTAGAAGCATTAAAGAGAACACAGTGTGAAGTAGGGAATGGCAATTCTCTCTCACCTGCATCCTCGAACGAGGGATCTTCAGTTCATAAGCATTTCCCCCCACACACAGGACGTCTTTCATCTTCTGAAGGCACCATAGGTGCAGCTGGATCGTGATGCTCAAGCTCGTAGGCACCTGTAGTGAAGCTAAGGGCCCATGGCGGAGCCTCTGCACCTACCTTTTTGGTGGAATTGATGATGGTGCTAAGCACGGAGACCAATTTCACAATCTCTTTGTTGTCAGAAACATTCTTATAATAGTTCTTGGTTTGCACAGGAATGGGTAAGTTTACAGATGCTGCCTCCAAGGTATCTAACGCCAAAACAGAGAAAGACAGAAGTTTACATCAACAGGATAAATCACATACTTTGAAAAGATGAGACTTCTATAATGGTAAAGTAAGGCTGCTGAAACTTTTCTCCTTTCTAAAAGCATTAAAAATAATCAGAAAATTACAATCTCCATGTTTAGGACTCTGGAAATTAATCAAAGCCTGCAGCAATCGAAGAAGTATTAATTCAAGGGGAAAAAAGCCAGACCTTGACAATAAGCAAGTTGTGTCTTTTAACTTGTCCTGCTCTCATTGTCCCTGGAGGGACCAGAATGGGTTTAGAAACCCTTGGGGAGTCCTTAACAATGGTCAGTTGACACCTCTAGAAGCTCCCGGGAAGTGTGGCATCTATTCAAATAACTTATTTTTCTCTCACCTAATGCAGAATTTCACTATTGAAAAAAGGTCTGTTCTCAGGAAATACATCCAAATTCCAAAAACCAACTATTGCTTAACTTCAAAGCTACCTGAGTACAATTCCATTTATATGCAGTGTCCTGGATGGGCAACCATACAGACAGAGTGATCAGTAGCCAAGGGCTGAGAAGGAAGAAGAAAGCGACGTGACTGCTGATGAGCACAGGATTTCTTTCTGGGTATAACAAAAATGCTCTATAATTAAGTGATGGTGAGGCTTGCACAACTCTGCAATATACTAAAAACCACTGAATTATACAATTTAAAAGGTAAATTAATTTTCTCAAAATTTAAAATTTTTTTAAATGCAGCTTATTTCCTTAACACTTTGGTCATGACAAAAATATACACAACTTTTATTCAATACTTTTTCTTCTCAACTTAAGATATGATTATTTTTTGGCTTTTTGAGATAGGGTCTTTCTATACAGTTCAGTCTGACCTTGTGACTTTGTAGCCTAAGGTGGTCTCAAATTCACAGTGATCCTCCTGCCTCAGCCTCCTGAGTTCTGGGATTGTGGGTGTGTACCACCACTCCCAATGCTATGACTCATAATTAAAATTAAAAATTCTAAATTTTAAACTAGTCTAGGAAGTAAAGCAATGTTTCCAAATAATAAAAAATGAAATTAACACCATATGCTTTCTTAGTTTAAATTAGTGAATAAAGAATACTTGCAAGTTATATGGCAAGTTGTTTTGAGTTATCTTTCTCCCCCACAGTAACAATGCTTTAACGAACAACTTGCTTCACCTTTTCTTCATGGTTAGTTGATTTATCACCTCACAGGAGGTGAACACCACCAAAATTATACAAGATCTGCTGTTTGTAGGGTTGATTTAGAAACAATGTGAGGACAAAAGATGTGTATCATTAGCACTGTGGATGTTGCTGTGGTTTAGATCTTAAATGTCCACCGACAGTCTCACATGCTAGAAGTGGGGCCTAAGCAAAAGGAGCGGGTGAATGGAGGTGTGATTTAGAAGGATGCATTGTCCTCAGCATCTCCTTCTCTCTAAGCACCATGCAGAAGACAGCTTTCCTTCACCATGCGACTCCGCCGTGCTGTTTCTGCCCTATGGCTCATAACCATGTACTGAACTCTCTGCAACTGTGAGCCAGGTAAAACTCCCCTTTAAATCGCAGGTGTCTGATATCTTGCCCCAGTGATAGGAAAGCTGACTAATACAGATGTTTTTTGCCTCTTAATTTACAGAGTATACATGAAAATCACAGTATACCCAGCAATACTGAACACATAATGAGAGAAGAAATAGCTCTTGAGTGTCAGAAGATATTCATTGTGATGATGGTAAGCTTCCTTTTAAACTGTGAAATTAAAGCCCCATTTTCCTGAGTTTTGATCCTTAGATTTTATTAAAATCCAGTGGTGAACCAACAACTGTGATAGACTTGCTAGAACAAGACTATACTGATGATACTAAAATATTAAAATAGGCGAGTCTTGGTTTTTTTTAAACAAATTGGTTTATAGATCAGCAGTGCAATCGCACTTGATTGGAGAATTACATAGGGGAAGGGGGAAACACTTAAGCTCAATACATGTTCATTTGAACTTGCTATGTGCAAATAACAAAAAGAATGTTTACCTTGAGGTTCATTCTCTCCCATCTCAGAATCACTGTCTTCAGTATCCTGCAAAGCAGCCATTTTTCTTTCATGCATCTTTTTCTACAATGTAAAAGGGTATTTCTTAGCTTTGTCCCATCTATTAAAGAGGCAGCTTTCACATGAAACAGCGTCCTAATCCCATTCCCACCTTGGACACTGGCTCACTGCTCCACTGTCGGACTCCCTTGGGGACACTGATGATATACTCCACAGCTTTATTCAGAGTCTGCTGTATGTCTTCCAGGGCAGGCACCATGGTAATGTTGGGAATGGCCAAAGTGATGCTTGCCCGGAAGATAGGGATATTGTTCTGCTTCACCTTATATGCATTGTTGCTGTCTGAATTAACACAAAGCAAGTAGGGATTGTTATTTTGAATTCAAAACAAGATTTTTTCATTTCTAAACAAAAATATAATACTTAAAGCACCTAGAATGACACATAAAATGTACATAATCAGTGAATATTTGTTCAATGAATGAATGAAACTATTAGAGGATCGAGTTGTGTTTGACACCTATAACAGCAGTTCAGCCAAACCCAAATAATTTTCCATTGATCACAATTTGTTGGTCTACCCTCCATAAAAGGAACTTGTTGAGGATCAGACATCAGGATAAACTCTTATCTAAAATATTAAAGATGAGGTTATCCAAATAATAGACTATCCACAAATTAGTTAAATCTATGATAAATAAATAAGGAATGGAGAACACAATCAACAACCAGAATAAGCCAAAGTTAGTAAAAATAGGCAGTTTGGAATTTCAAATAAAACATGTGCCATTCCTACTACAGTGTATATATATTCCAAAATCAGACCAATTAAAAAAGAGAAGAAATAAAATGTAACTGACTGCTCATATTAAAGGGTCTTTTACAGTATAAGTATGTAGACATAAATACATAGGTATGATTGTGTCTGCTTATATCACACAACTTTTCATAGTGGGAAGGGGAGGGGGAGGGAGAGGGGGACAAAGAGGAGGAAGAGGAAGTAAAGGTGGAGGAGGAAGATAAGAAAAATGAGGACAAGGGGAGGGAGAGAAGAAGGAGAAGGAAGGAAGGAAGGAAGGAAGGAAGGAAAGGAAGGAAGGAAGGAAGGAAGGAAGGAAGGAAGGAAGGAAG